TGTCTGGTTGTTCTATATATGATGTAGGTGTAGCTTCTACGTTTCTCTACAGATGTGAAAAGTATAAATAGTCTATGCCGAAGTCGAGGGTAGAGCTACGTGACGAGAAGAGTTGAGACGAGCAAGCTTTCGAAAAGAAGGATGGGCGGTCTTCTACTCCCCTCGAAATGAAAGCAATTGAGCTTACAAATGAACAGCTGCAAAGTAGACTTCTGTAACATCCCCGTTGATCATTCCCTTTTCCCCGCGCCATCCCACCCCCTCTCCCCCTCCTCGAAGCCATGTTTGAAAGTAGTTGCCGTGTCGGCAATCCGACGTCGTACGGGGCTTTGAGCTTCGCCAGCTTCTCGCACCCATCTGCCATGCCGGAACGAGTGGGCGGAAAGTGGAGGTGGGGCCGGGAACGTCGAGAGGAGGTGGGTTGTGCGGGGACGGGTGTGGGAGGGCAGACAGCTACGGCGGACGCTATGAAACTGTAATTTCTTTACACGTGTTGGGTTTTGTGCGGCTATGCATCTGAGGCAAAAACAAGGCCACCAGAGAGCTGGGGCAGAAGGTTTGTTCTCTGCACATGATCTCTGGGATGTTCAACGTTGACACCGTCTCAAGGAAGGTTCCTATGCATCGTTGATCTGAGATCTTGGGTTCGGGCTCACGGGCGACTGTAAGAGCCGCGTATATTTGGGGAGGGGGCTGAGGGAAGATGAAGTAAAATAATGCAACTCCACAAGGTTGAGAGGAAGGAGGATACTGTATAATCTTCTGGAAGCGGGATTGCAGAAAGATGCGCATGGTCAATGTCTTCATCTGGGGCATGTTCAAACATTGTGGGGTTTGGTTATCAGAGTACAGTGTTGGGTATTCACCAGGCCCAAAGCCTGGATGCCACTACGAAAAAAAAAGTATACACAATGCCTCCATCATGAGATCTGATGATATGAGAATCTCTTCCCCTTGCTCCTAGACCTCCGAAACTGCCCTACTCTATCCTCCGAGCCGCAGAAACATTCGGCACGCCCGTCCCCTCCACAACTTTGGCACCCACAACCTCATAGATGGGCATCTCAGCCAAAAACTTGGCAACGTGATGCAGCGTCGGCAGCTTCTCCCAGTCGAGACCGTCCATCTTGACCGAGACGTCCGCCGCAGACGCCCTAGACACGGCGTGCACCGTGGCGGGGACGTCCTTGGCCTCCTCCTCGTGCGGCACCACGCACGCGTACTCGGCGTCGGCCTTGCCCGGCTGCCCGACCGAGGGGATATACCGGTACGTCAGGATCCCGTAGTCCGCCTCACCGCCGATGGTGCCGTGCTCCGTCTCGGGCTCGTCGCGGCGCAGGTTCTTGAGCGAGATGTCGGCAAAGGTGGCGCCCCGCCACGAGGCGCGGACGCGCGCCGATGTAGCGTGGTGCTCGAGGTCAATGTCGCAGAATAGTTTCGGCATGCCGAGCTCCTCGCGGCCGGAGACAATGGGATCCGTCAGGGACTCGAACAAGACAGACAGGTGGGTGCCGTTGATGGCGGTGCCGTCGCGCTTGACGTACTCGATGCCGTGGATGTACAGGCCCAGGTGGTTGTACCCGCCGCCGCCAAGCCACGACATGTTGTTAAGCTGGGTGACGGAGAGCGAGACGGCGCAGACGGTGCCCGGTTCCTTGAAGCGGAACGAGTCCGTGGGGAGGATGGTCTCGAGTAGCGTGCGCGACGTGAGGAACTTGACCGACATTGTCTTGAAGGTGCGCTCGAGCTCGGACGGTTGCCGGCGGCCGAAGAAATCTTGTCGCGGACCCGGGAAGGGGCCGAAGCCGATGGGCATGCGCCAGTACATGTCCTGCTTCTTGGACCAGAGGTACTTGTTGAAGATCTTTGTCGCGTGGTCGTGCTCGTCGTGGCCAAAGTTGTAATTTGTGTAGTTCATCACTGTTTTTCGTCGTGTTAGTGGGTTGTTAGTGGTGTGAGAGGATGCTTTACGAACTTTGGATGGCAGGTGGTTGGCCTGGTATTCTGTCCTTGCCGGCTTGACGAGAGAACTCTTGGATCTTGTGCGCGCGCTCCATGCGGATCTTTTCGTACAGACGTAAACGTTCGGGGACTTCGTCGGGCGATGTGCCCTTGGGTAGAACGACAGCCAACGCTGCTCCGTCTTCCATAGCCTGGCCTGCGCCTTGTCCCTGATCTACGGCTCTGTTAGTATCTTGAGGTGGAACGTCTCGGTAAGACAAGACTTACGAGGTGTGAAAGGATGCGCGGCATCACCCAAAAGGGCGAGCTTGCCATTCACCCATGTCGGCATAGCCTCCATATCCAACAACTGCCATACATTGACTTCATCGGGATTAACCTTCTTCATCAGCTGCAACACAGCAGGATCAAAGTCCTTGTAAACCTTGAGTAGTTGTTCGATGGAGCCCTTCTTATTCCATTCTTATGTTTCGTCAGTCTTGTTCCTGTGCGATGGGACTTAAAAAGACATACCATCGCTTGCGTTTGCTTGAGATTCGGTATCCGGGTGAATGCACACAAAGTTGAGGAGCTGGTTGTTGTTGCACGGGTAAATCACAATACGCCTGTCCGTACCAAACCAAATCCCCAGAGAGTTCTCCCTGTCGACCAAAGGCGCAGTGACCGGGTCCTCGAGCGCCGCGGCGCGAGGGATGAGGAAGCGGAACGCCGCCTTGCCGGAGCGGAACAGCTTGTAGTCGGTGCCGGTCACAAACTTCCTGACCTTGGACTATTTGGAGAACGTCAGTATCGCCAGCTTTACTACACCTATGCTCCTTCGTTGACGTACGTAAATACCGTCGGCCCCAAGAATGACATCTGCCTGAACGGTCGTCCCGTCTTCCAGCGACAACTCGCCCTTCTCGGGGTCCGCGCTGACGACTTTGGACGCGACGTGAAGCTTGGCTGGCGTTGTGACCCCTCCGTCCTCGGCTGTGGCGACATTACGGATCTCGTTGTGGAGGTAGGCGCGGTGAACGAGCTGCCAGGGGTGCTGCCACTGGCCTTGGGACTTTGTAATGTCGACGTCGAAGCCGCCTTGGTTGTTCAGGTCCCTCTCCTTGAAGTGGTGTGAAGGGTTGGCGCCGAACGTCTCGGCGTAGATGCCCCATCGCCGCAAGAGACCGTTGGAGTTGGGGGCCAGATGTACGGCGGCACCGGTCTCATTGGCGAGTCTCGATTGCTCGTAAAGCTACGGTTGAAAGCGTGAGTATGATGGGCAGCGCGAATGGGGTGAGTGTGATGAGGCTACGAGTGGGGAGTTCCTACGTCAACTTGGTGACCTTGCCGGCGTAGTGCAATGGCTGTGCTTAAACCACCAATGCCAGCGCCTACAATGGCAATCTTGAGAGGCCGGGGATATTCGTGGACCATGGGACTCGAGTACACGCCATTAGGGCGCTGAGCCTCTCCGTTGACCAACATGGTGCCAAAGTCAACGTGTGTGCAGAAGAAAAGAAGAGGGTGCGTGGTTCTGTGTTCAGATTGTGAAACAAAGACCTTTGCTCGACTCTCTCAGTTGTTTGGGGGATGAGAAAATCGTTGAGGAACGTCAGAGCTGCGAGTAATGTGAGTAGAAAGGTGAGAGATCAAAGCGCCGAAATGTGAAGAAGAAAAGGGCCGCAACCATGTGTTATGAGAAAAAAAAGAGACGAGATATAACCGATGTTTGACGGGGGAACGAATAAGACCGTAAGACTTACACTCCCCGTCATCTCAAACGCTTCCCGCCCCGGACTTCGACGCTACGCCACCGCGTCGATCGTTCGGTCTGCTGGGCTTTCGACAGCTCGGCCCCTCCCTCCCTTGTCTCTATTGCAACCACCATCAAAACTGCCAACGCAACCCCGGACTTTTGCAAACCGCCGAGCTTTCACAGGGCGACGGGAATTGGAGGGAACTAGTGTAGGTCATCGTGCCCCCCTTCCTCATCAGAACAAAAGCCATACCGAAAGAAGGTGACCGCTGGCTGGGCAGATTGCTCCTCCCCATCATGCTCCCCCGCATTTTCTGCCGGCGGGCGGAAGGCCGGAACCATGGCGGGGGAGGGGACGTGTTATACGCGGGACGTCGTTTAGCCTCATCATCCATACTATGCGATCACCTAGTAACCCTTTTCCTTACAGCTGTGTTCATCTGTCACAAGAGAAGCAGAAAACATCCTTCCCGAACAACTCTTTCGAAAGACTTGAAACTAATCGATAGCTAAGCTTATGCACAAGGTCTCAACGGTATGCCGGCTTCGAGAAATCCCCTCTCTACAGGGCCCCATATCGAAGCTTGCGAGGGGAAGGTGACAGCCGTCGTGATTCAAAGGTTGCAATAAACATTTTCAGCGTCGAACTGGAAACCGAATAGTTTGTCGTACAGACAGACTTTCTCGGTAAGGATGTGTCGGGGAGTGTTTCCGGTCAAGGAGGGGGGGAAGCGAGCAAAAGATCGGCTCAGGTGGGGGTGGGTCCGTTGGCTTTCTTCTTGCTGCTGCTGCTGCTGTTGTGACTTGTAGTTTACCACAATCTCCTACACCAATATGTCTATTATTGGGGGGATACATCCACGCGACATTGAATCAAAGTCATTGCATATGTGCCTTTGTAACTGATGCGTCTGCCGCATATAGTACCGGGTATTTGTGTGTCCCAGGTCCAGTGCCAACTTTGATCCAATTCCTACCTGTCCATCGCACTCTGTAGCTGCTCATGTTACGAATATGGCAAAACATAGGATGAGCTGAACTCAACTCACTGGGCATATCAATCTGACTAAAACTCTTCCAGGCCTCACCTTGTTCTGCTTCATCCCATCGGATCTAGTCCACGGTAAACGGAACAATAAGATCAAAAAACCTACTGCTCGCGCGAACCCACATGGAACCCTCGGCACCCGCGTAAGGCACTCTGCCGCGACTATTACCCCGCCCTTTTCTTCGGCTCCTTGGTGTGCATGCCGGCCCCAATCTGGTCCCGACCTTACCCCGCCCCGACACCGGAATTCCGATACAAAGCTCCGGAGTTCCTTTACAACACAAAGCTCATCGGGACCGAACAAGGCCGCACTCACCACCCCTTACTTTTGCCGGTCGAGAAAACATCCAACAGGAACAAGGGAAGAAAAGAAAGGAAAAAAGGGAAAAAAAGAGAACACTCTCAGAAACCATGTCTCCAATCCCAACCGCCCTCATCACGGCAGGCAGCGCAGGCCTCGGCGCCGCAACAGCCAAACTCTTCGCCCGCAACGGCTACAGCGTCGTCATAAACTACGCGAACAACAGCGACCGCGCCGAAGCCCTGGTCAAGGAACTCGAGTCCCTCTCATCCACCTCCGCTACCTCTTCGTCCACAGAAGGAAGCCAAAGGCAGCACTTCCACGCCATCAAAGCAGACCTCTCCTCCCGCGCCGAAACCTCCGCCCTCGTCAAGAGCGCAGCCGACGCCCTCGGCGGCCGCCTCGACGTCCTCTTCTCTAACGGCGGCTGGACGCGGCTCCGCAACATCGCGGACCTCGACGACAACGTCGACGAGGACGACTGGGACCGCTGCTTCAACATGAATGTGAAGTCGCACCTGTTCCTCATGCACGCCGCGCGGCCGTACCTCGACGAGGCAGAGGGCGCATTTATCACGACGGCGTCGCTGGCTGGTGTTAAAGTCAGCGGGAGTTCACTGGTAATTTAACTCCTTTTTGTCTTTTTTGAATGTCATAATTCTCATCAACCCCAACCCCAACCCCATAGTTGCCTCCATCGAACCCAATATTGCATGGGCTCAGCAAGCAAGCAAAGGCAAGGAAAGTCAAACTCTCTAACACGATGTGCAAAAACAACGTAGGCCTACGCCGTGACGAAAGCAGCCCAGATCCACCTCGTAAAAGGCCTCGCGTTAGCAGCGGGCCCGAGAATAAGAGTAAACAGCGTCTCTCCAGGCCTCATGTTGACGGTATGTTACACAATCCGCCACCCTTCCCCGTCCCCGTCACTCCTGCCCTCATACCCTACCCTATCTCTGCCCTCCCTGTCCATCTCATGCGACTACATCCATATCACGGCAAGACACATCCGTGAAAAGACAGAAACAGACATGCTCACTGCATACCCACCGTTCCGTGTGTACAGGAATGGGGCCTACAGTTCCCGCAAGAGAAACAACAGGCCGCCCGGGACAGGACGCCGCTCAAGCGCCTCGCCACGGTCGACGACGTGGCCGACCAGGTGCTGTGCTTCGCCAGGAGCAGGAGCGTCACCGGCGCTAACGCCGTCATTGACGGGGGGCTCAGTATTTGAGAGAGAGAGAGAGAGAGAGAGAGAGAGAGAATGTGTGTGTGAGAGAGCGAGCGGGAAGGGGGGGTTTACGGAGTACGGTCCACGAATATCTGGACGGAGTATGGATGCCTCTTTAAGAGAAGACGAGGTCACGAGGGAGAGGAACAGATGTCACAGAGACAGGAAGCCTGAGAGAGAGCCTGGCACATACGGATACATGGGTACGGAACAGCCCACACCCGTCGGCCATGAAAAGCCAGCCACGCAAGAACTAGGGATGATGATAAAGTTTTACTCATCATTGACTCAGGGTCCAAAAGGGCAGAAAAAAACAGCCACCACCTTGGCTAGGCAGCCAGATTAGTTGAAGCTAGCCACTGAGGACCACTGAGCAAGTTTAATTCCAAGGAAACACAAGAAAAAATATGACCAAGAATCTGTATGAAATGGCCTGTTCAAGGGGTCCAGGAACGGGGCTGTTGCGAGCTCCTCAGAGCTGAGATTGGGCGAGAGAGATGTCGTTAAACCTGTCCGCGGCCTTGCTTGGCCCCCCCACCACCCTGCTTGCCTGGGCGGCGCTGGTGTCGGGAATGGGGGGACCCAGCTCCTCCCACATCCCGAAGGGCCAAGGTGGGCTGGGCACGCCCTGGGCTTGCGTATTGGCGCAACGAATGGGGGGAGGCCAAAGCAAGACCAGGAGGAATTAGAAAAAAAAGAACCAAGGAGGAACCTTAAAGCTTGCAAAAGGCGCTTGCTCTTCTTCTGATTTTGCTGTGCTCTTCTTTTTTCTCGTCATAATATGAAAACTCAATTCTTATAAGTACCGAAACGCCTTGCTATACGTGTGCTGCCGTGAAGGTATCGGTGTGGGATGGGTACAAGAAAACTACAACTTCATCCGGTCTCTTCTCTTTCTCTCTCTCTCTCTCTCTCTCTCTCTCCATCGTCTCTTTTCTTATTCCCCTACCTCCCTGTCTTCGTTCCAATGGATATACCGGATGATCGGCCACTTCCACGACTCGTGTCGTATCGCCTTGCCCCAGACGAATAACGGCACCCACAGGACCAAGACGGCAGATGCGATGCCCGCCATGGCCCCAAAGGCATTGTCGTACCCTGCCTTTTCAACCCAGGTATTCGTGTAGAAGGACAACAGGAAGCCGAAGAGTGCTGCAGGAAAACAAGGACCAAAGTCAGCTTTACATGCCGGACAGATACGAAGGGATGCCAAGAGTCGGACGTCCACTTACACTTGAAGCCCATGACGGCCAGGGTGATTTCGCCGGCGACGGGCCGGTAGGCATCAATCACGTACACGAGACAAATGTTCGTTCCTTGGGAGATGGAAAAGGTAACTGTAGATGGGATGATCAGAAACACCGTCGTTTCGACAAAAGAGCATGGAGGGGTGGGACGGGTAGGAAAGGAGAGGAGAGAGAGAGGGGGGAAGGCAACGTACGAAGTCCAAGGCCGATGGTGGGACAGATCCAGTGCAGCTGGCTATCGATGCCGACGCCGTAGAGGACGAGAGCCAACGGCGTCGTAACCATACTGATGGCCATGCCAGGCAGTCGCATCTCCGGATCCCGCATCCCGCCGTTTCGTCTGGTAAACCAATCCGCAATCATGTCGCCAAGATGCCCGCCCGCCGGGATACCGAGCAACGCACCGAGGATGCCGGCAATGAAGCAGAGGCCAATCTGCCACGAATCGAATCCATAGGCCGTGTAGAAGGCGGAACCGGCATTGGAAGACACAGCGACAAGGAAACCGACCGTCACGGCCTGCACCAGCGCCGCCCAGAGGACCGGCGGCAAGAGAATCAGGCCCAGGGGCCGCAGCGCGAGCTTTAGGAGGCTCTCCTGCGTCAGCGTCTTGTTGAAGATTTTCAGCGAAGAAAGGTATGATTGCTTTGAGCGTCTTGTCGTTGTCGTCGAAGCTCCTAGCGGACGAGCGGGCAGCTCGCCTTCCGACCTCACCGACCCGGGTTTGCTCCCGTCTATCGAACCCAGGCGGTTCCAAGCACTCGCTTCGTCTCTCTCGTAGGCGGTCTCGGGGAAGGTGAAGAATGCTAGTAGGAGCACAACGCCGACCAAAGCGGCAGAAACTTGGTAGATGACTCTCCAGTTATGGTTGATGGTGATGAGACTGCCAGAACACACGATGGTTAGAGATTTCCCGACACGCTCTGGGACGCTTTCCCCCATCACTTACCCTGAAATGACCAGGCCAAAGCCGACGCCCGCAGAAAGAAACGCGGTATAGAGTCTGTATCACTAACGTTAGCGATCTGCCAACCCGCTTCTCTGCCAGAACAAGCACTCACGCCATGATGGTTCCTCTTTCGTGCAGAAAGAAAACGTCAGCGATGGAGATAGGCGCGATCGTCTCCGCGGCTCCAGCGCCAAATCCCATCAGGATCCGGCCGGCCAAGAAGCCACCGTACGAGTGATCAAAAATGAGCCATATCGTGCATGCAAAGTAGATGGAGTAGCTCGCAACGTAGACTGGCCGTCGGCCAAACTTGTTGGCGAGCGGCACCCAGAAGAAGTTGCCCACCCCCTGGAGCAGGGCGGTTGTCGTGAAGAAGTAAGCAGTTCTGGCGATTGCGAGACTGAGAACATTAGTATCGGTGGCGGCTGCCGGGAAGAACTCCAAGGCTGTATCTAGCAACGCGATCGAGGGTCCTGTAACGATATCCGTTAGCCGATCGTCTTCTAGTGTACTCTGGAGACGATGGATTCGAAAATACCCGCTGCCAGAAAGTTGCACATCATCATGGCGAAGCATATCAACCCCGCCATGTAGTACTTGTACCATTGTGGCCTAAGCGAGTCAGCTGAAAATCCCTGGCTTCTTTGACGATCTAGGTCGCCAGTCCAGTACCTACCAGTTTAAGGGGTCGTTTGGATCTGCTGATGGCGTCGGAATCAATATGATCTCGTTGGTCTCTGGATGCCTCAAACGAACGTTTCCCAACGTCCTCGCCCGCGTTGTTTCCTCCGCTACATGCCTTGTGTTGCTATTCATTTCTGGAATTGTATCGAGAGCCTCCCGTGTTCTGACGGTTTTGACGATGCAGTTTGTCTGCCCTCGGCTCGGGATCTCTGGAAGGTTATGGGGCCCTTTCTCCAGAGGGAGTCTCCTAGAGAAGTCACGGCGCACTTTTGGCAAGCCGGGTGAACGGAGTCGTCTGGAATTCCGTTCCAAGAAGTCGGGGAGTAGTGAGAGGCGGCTACTCCCCCTGCTTGAAAAAGACGAGCCCGATCGATGAAACGGTCGAGTCCAGGCGTATCTGCCGCGTCGATCGTTCAACGTGGTTGCATCAAAAGGGAGGTATAGGCGGGCGCGGACGTGGTTCACTGCTACTACTGCCTAGCACTTTGCAGAGAGAAGAGAGACGGCAGAAAGTTTAAGCTTTACTGTCTCGGTAGCCCGTCGTTGATTGGATTCTGTGGGGAAACATGGGGCTTCTTTTTCAACAATGTCAAACACAGATGATTCGTCGGTATGATCTCTGAGAAGATGGAAAAAGAAGAGATGACCAGTAGAGAGTCGCCGCAGACGAGGAACAAAGAACAATAGCGGGGGAACAGCAAGTCGCGAACGAGTTTGAAGGGTGACTGGTGCAAAGTCTGGACCTGACGTCGCAGCTCTCTCTCAAGAACGACAACAGCGACCTTCCTGTAGTCTGTGTGTACGGACACACTGACTACCTAGTACCTGGTGATACCTTGGAGAGGCCGACGCGTGGAGTCGCAGTGATGGATGGTGCGTGAGGGCCGCCAGGAACACTGGATGGCACATCCCAAGAGCCAAAGGACGGACGGGGATAGGCGACGGGCCTAAGCAGGAGATTATCAGGCCCCAACCCTGCTCACCGAATTTGAGCACTAGGGTAAATGAGGACAGACTTGGCACGCAGAGGAATGGGAACAGACAAGGATTTAGCCGCAGCGGCCACTGTCTTATCCGCGACTAAGGGGTATTCGATTTCAAGGGGCCAAGTTCCACCAACAAGCCTTTTGCCAAGCCTTTGGACATGGGCGACCGAAACATGACCAGAGGAAAACCAATTGGTGGGTTCTAGCAGGAACGCTAGTGAAGGAGCCAACGAGGGAGTGAAAAAAAGGGACAGATGACAGATGCGACAACCTCCGAGATGAGACGTACGCAAGTGTCCGTCTTTGCATACTTTGTTCACACGGAGTCTGGCGGAGAAGAGAGGAGAGACGGAGACAAGGTGACAAGCAAGCAAGCAGGGAAGACCTCGAAAGTCGAGACATGTTCGTCCTGCGCGCTTGCGAACAGACGTCAGACACCAAAGGTGCTGATGCTGGTGCTGGTGCTTGATGATGATGATGCTGATCATCTTGACTGGGAATCATGGACTACATGGAAGTTTACAATGCAGTCCAGCCGAGTTCCGTCCCCGCCCGCACCCGCCACCATCGCACGCGTAAGATCAGTTGTAAAAGGTTTCCCGTCCTTGAACAGGTCCAAGCCTTGCTGGAAAGAGCCTCAAAGAGAGGAGAAGAGTTTGTGCCGCATGAACTAAGCATAGGACCCAAAGTGCCGTTTTCGGCCATCAGCTCCGGGTCATGATCCACGGTGTGCCAGTCTTACGTGGTGAGAAAGTGTGGCTGGTGCTTAATATGGGGTTGAAAAAGTAAAAAAGAGGTAGTAGTCGGCTAGTGTGCCAGAGCCGGCGGAGAGACCCTGGCATGCCGCATGTCTCGTCTAGTCTAGGAGACGCGCAACGCGCTCCCCACGCAATATCTGTGAAGGGATATGTTGCCGTGGACACTAGACAACGGTCAGTAAACACTCCATAGTAATGCTTCTCGACCGTGGAGGCCGGACAAAAGAAAAGTCTCTGGAGGCCGCTCATGTGGTTCTTGACGGATCCCGCCAGCCTCGCTTGCGGGCAGTGCACTGCATATGCATCTACGACGCTCGGAGAGTGCCGTTCCTGGAATGTGTCAATGACATGCAGAGCCGTTATCTCTTCGTTCGTGGGCCGAGGTCGACAAGGCAGGCTTGGATGATGTTAGAGTCCCAGACTCCAGAGATGTCGGATATGAGGGCCGAGGCGGGTAGGCGAGGGTTGACCAGTTGAGCGGTATACAACTATGGATCTCAGAGGAGTGGACTTGCACGCGCCAGTCGCTCCGTGATGCCTCATTCTTCTCTTCCTCCACACGGCTCTTGTGTATGGCCAGGCGATGGACCAATTTCATGGGCTCGTATTCTGGTGATTAGAGTGAGTAGTGTTTCAACATGACGTTTCTCCCATCTGACTTACAACAAATAGAGTAAGGGCATGGGCATCGTCGGTTGAAGTTTACCATGTTTCCATCTTTGGGCCCTGGTCGTTGGCGCCGGCGGGTTAAAAGTTGAAACAACGTGAACTCGTCATGGCCCTATAGGTGATGGAGCCATGCGACTAAAGACGCGTTTACTCTTGTTCAGCTTGCCCCAGATGCCCCGTCAGGTAAGGCAGAATTCAAGCTTCATGCCACGGGTCCATCGACGGTCAAGATATTAGGGTTGCCGGGATATGTTTGACGAGGCTTAAAGGGAGGGGAGGGGCAGGCAGGCTTTCGTCATCCTGCGACTGGCAGACCGCAGAAGCAGCAAACACACCAGACACGGCGGGCTGTCATCTGAAGTTGAGAGTGTCTGGAGTGGTGCGCGCCAATGAGTGGGCGACTTGATGATAGTCGAGACCAAGAGCAGAAGAAGAAGTGTGGTCAAATTCCGCCCGCAGTGTTGGCGCAAGTGGAGGAGACGACGTGGAATCAGAGATGCAGCAATCAGATGCAGGGTGAGGGAGGATGGTGTGGGGCCTCTCCGCCGACAGGAGTACGTACCTACCTTACCACCTTGCCTAGGTACGTACCTCAGTATGTACTACACAAGGAACCTGAGGAAGGCACCTTCTAAGCGTGCGCTAGTGAGTGTACGTACTCAAGCCACTGAAATGGAGCTGGTGTACCTAACCTTACTAAGGTCTAGCTAGCGCAGACAAGTACCGCGGCGCTAAAGACCCTAAGGTAGTGTACGAACGAAGAGGAAGGCAGGGTACCTTGGACTTGTGTCTAGTGCCACAACCCAAGATGATTTTGAGCGACGTGCTTTGGGATGAGGAATTGCGTGGTGCGTAATTGCTATGGTGAAGGGTTCCATTATCAAAATTACTGGGGGAAATCTATCAATAGAGGATGAGTGAGCTCTCCACCCCTGAGCGGGTCTCCATCGGGGAGAACCATGGCACCAAGCCCCTTCGGGACAACCGGACAGGCTCAGGGATGGCACGGATATTAGGGCCTACGTAACGCTCTTGTTCAATCCCGTGCCGATGTTTTCTACGCAGCACTTGCACACATCTGCAGCTGTGCAGCAGCGCAACGCAGCACCTCACTGCAGAGTGCACCTGCCTACCTACCTTAAGGTACCTACCCTGTCCATCAGATGAATCAGACAAGACGGAAGGTAGGACAGTAAGAGACTTCTTTCCATCCCTTCTATTGTGCATCACATCACATTCCCATAAGGTACCTTCCATATTGTAATGATCCAATCAACATCTTTGAGTATCTAATCTTCTGATAACGTCTAGACTTGGAGTCAGGTAGACGCCTTGTTCTTGGGAAGACATGCCATCTGCACCCCGTCTGCATCTTTTGTTTTCATCAACCGCCGGAATCCCACCTGAGGCACAGAGTACTCAACATGTCTCTTCCCTCCACTTGGCACCGGACTCTGGACTCTGGACGACTGGCGAGCACCACCCTGTCACCTGTGCCTCTTTGAACTCCGCGTCTGGAGTCCCATGGAAGTCTGGTTACTGGTCACTGCTGTTTTCTCATGGGGAACTGCTAGGGCCGCTACGGGGATCCCTGGGCCGCCGAGTCCCCGATGACTACTTTGTGTGCTACAGTTTCCGCCCATCGCGTGCACAACATTTCCAACTTTTCAAGTATCCCAGTACCTCGACGACCTAGAACATCAACAAGGACAAAAAAGTATCTGTACCTTATCTGCGGATACTAGGTAACCGCAGTCGCAGTATCGTCTTGCGCCAGCTCCTGCGCCTGGCAAGTCATTATCCATCCCATCACGCTGCACCGGGCTGCATAGATGCAGGGCTTTGCTTCTCCGTCCACGGCGAGCGGAGAGGAGGTTTCCGCCGCTCGATTCCTCACTCCACTCGTCAAATTGCTTTTCCCGGTCAAGACGCATCCTCATGGAGACTTGCGATCTCATCCTGTGCGGCGGTGAATCCGGTCCATCCCGTCAAGTCAGTTGTCACTGTGAATAGGCGAAAAGACCACCGCAGTTTTGTCTGGCCAAGCCGGCTAGGCATTTCGTCACGTTCGTCGCGAGTCATAATGAACGGGGTCAATTGACTTTTTGTCCAGTGTTTGGCCCGACCCGATCGGCAGCGCAAATCGATGACTCGCCCCTACCAAGATCTTGGACATAGATTGCCTTTGAGCGCAAAAAAAAGAAAGAAAGGGACAGCCGGAGTGCTCCGAACAAGGCCGCCCACGAGGTCCAGAGATGGACACAGAGACCAGGACTGGAAATGGCAATGCAGCATACGGATATCATGCCTTCTGCCCGTCTCAAACCAATTCGCATCGGGACTTTGGTCAACGGGGGTCGTGGCCAGCATTGGCAGCATGTCCATCAACTGTTTCGAGCGACTGCTAGGATGTCCGATTGCTTCCATATGAATGGCTCCATCTGCTTACCTACGTGATCCACTAGACGGGCTGAATTTGTCGGCTCGGGATCTTTCTCTGGAGAGACGCGTGCGCGTGCGGGATATGACATGCTGGCCCACAATTACATACATACCTACACCAAGAAGCCTCGCCCTCTTCAACAACGGAGTATTGTGAAGCATCGGCTAGCATCGTCTGATGATGTTGCCCGTTATTCTCAGCCTCAGACTGCTTCAACATGGTGTTTGGCCGGTGTATGCATCCGTATGTGTGTGTGTCCTGGATACTCCAAGGTTATCCATCCGACCTCTTGCGATGCCATCTGCCGGCTGATGTTGTCGTCGATGCCAGAGACCAAGACAGAACTGAACAGGACAGGGGGAGCTTCTTCGGATCTTTTAAGGCATGGTCACAACACTTGGTGAACGCGCACACGCACATAGCGGTAGTCATACAACGGCCCGGATACTACAACAGTCTAGTCGAGGCCAGGCCGGACTCTTGTTTTACAGCAGCTACACCTCTGAATCTCTGAATGATCATTGGCAGCATCAGCTCAAGACACCTTCTTACTTGGTAGCTAGCTAGCACCTACCGTCTTCGCGGAAAAGCCGCGACGTTGTCGTCTCAGTGCTCGGCCGTCAATGGACCCTTGCGCGTCGCCTCGGCCGGGATCTAGGTCTGGGTCTCATTCTCCAGTCGCCCTGCATAACTCCAGACCTGGTCGTTCCACCAAATGCAACCAACGCCCGAGTTTTGGGTTTCGAAGCTCTGGCAGCTCGAGCCTTTCCCCTTTGAGGTCCAGCGCCGGCCAGAGGATGACGAGGCCACCCCCGATCGCTGTCTTTGGTTCCTCTAGGGCAGCCCTCGCATTCGACGTGTTTGGCCCGTCAAGCCAATATACTCATCACCAGCAGCCGACGTACTACAATGTGGCGTTGAAATAATACCACGAATAGTACCGTGATTGAACTGACGCGGCACCTTACCACGTCCACCAGGTCCATGAGGTCTCGAGGTTGGCCTTCTTTTTTCGTCCCGCTCGAGAACCGCAGCTGGTACGAAGTTACGAACGGAGTACACCGTACTGTACGGAGTACCTACCTACCTTAAGGTACCTACCCTCTTGCATAGCGCCGCCCCCAACATCCACGGCCACAGCTTCCCATCCACGTCTGCGTGCTCAATGCGCCTCACAGACGCTCCAGCAACTGGGCTTTTACGGATACAACCAGGCTTATTTCGACGGACAAGTACCTACCCTAAGGTACCTTTCCTCACCTTACCTTCCTTACGAGTACGTACCTTGTCTTTTTTAGAGGAGTCGTCCCGCTCACAGCCTGAGTGAGCAGCAGCTGCTTCCATGTCCCACAGTTCACAGTCCACCATCCACCAGGCTATTCTTTCCCCTTGCCCCAAGGGCCAACCCAACCTTGTCCCCATTACCTCACATGAAGGTACCTCTACCGCTATCCATACGCCTACCTGTACCTTACATGACCTTGCTTTTACTTTACTTTGACTTGGGCCTTGGCTTGGCTACGATTAACTACCACTACCTTACTTGTGCTTGTTCTACTACTACTACGGCTTCTCCCCGAGTTCTTTTCTAAGTCTCAACTTACCTCAAGTCAAATCAAAGACTCTCGGCAACAAGACAAGTCAGGTTTAAGCTAAAGTCCTCAACGTTCCCAAGAAAAGACGACACAAGTTCTTGTCCCGCAGTTATCTGGTCTTGGCTGCAGCCGCACGCTTTCCGCTCTAACTTGAGTTATTATTTGGCTTGCACCCAGCCCACACCGGCCACAAGCACCAGCACCAGCACCAGCACCAGCACACTCGAAGCACCAGACAGCACCACAAGCGCACAGCACCAAAGCTCTCAACCTACCGTACCTTAAGCAAGCTTCTGCACCTGGTCCGCCGCCCTTGGCTCATATTTCCTTTTTATCTCCCTCTCCCGACAACCTCCCACATCGGATCTATCCTTCCTGAGGCCAGGTTTGCAAAACTTTTTTGCCTTCACAACATTCTTTTTCCCCCTACCTTCCGTCCAGCTTGCCGACACAGCCGTCGCTCGCTACCGTTAGCAGCCAACCATCTTCTTCCGACCGCTTACGGTTTACCACCGCTCCGTCCGGCGCCGTTGGCCTTTTCACGGCCGATTTGCCGGACCCGCCCCGACCTTCACTAACACAACATCATGATGGACGGTGGTCACCACAATATGATGCCAACCCGGGGCGTTGGTACCGATGACCAGCGGGTTTCTGCTTCCAACAGTAACACCAACCCCCTCGCCTCCGGTCCTTCTCCGAATGCCACAATAGTCGTCTCGGCAGCACCTTCATACAACCCTAATGGTCCCTCGCAATCCGTCTCTCCTTCACCTGTGCCAACAGCTCAATCTCCCTATCCCACATCAACCCCGGGCGGCACCCAGAGCCACGCTGCTACCGCCAGTCTGTACCAGTGTGCTCACTGCCAACGGCGGTATTCTCGACCTGAGCACCTCGCCCGTCACATCCAGACGCATACTCTTGGAAAGCGATTCGCGTGTCAGATATGCGGCAAAGCCTTTGCGCGCCAAGATCTCCTCAAGCGGCATGTCACCAATCACGAGAACGACAATGACCCCAACAAAAAGAGACGTCGCACCGATACCTCACCCGGTGCCGGCCGTGTCTCTCACGCCTGCAGACCTTGTGCCACGGCTCGCGTCAAGTGCGAGGAGCAAAAGCCCTGCACCCGTTGTCGGAATCGCAACCTAAATTGCGAGTATTCGTCAACCGAAGCCGGCTCGGCTGCGGCCATGCATCTGCTTCACCTCTCGGGCAACCCGCACCAGACAACATCAACGCCCGGATCTCTTGCCACATCTCCTTCACAATCTGCCTATGATAGCAGCCCCTCAACAGCGTACCAACAGAACCCTCAACATGCCATGCTGCCGCCCAGAGACGACAGTGGCCAGTTGGGGCCTGCTCACACCATCAAGTCGGAATCAGGCCGCATACCAACGACAGAAAATGCCATGCAACAAGTCAACGCCTCCGGTATGCCTGTCAACTACGAAATCGGCAACCAGCAAGGTGTCGACATGACCTTGCCTTTCTCGGACTTTCTCCAAAATGTCATCTACACAGGAGAGATGGAAGCATCGCGCATGGCGGAGGCACAGGGTCTAGCTGTCCTGGACTTTTGCGACAACTCGAATCTCGAACTGAACGAAGTGGACTTTGGCCTTCTGGATCATTGGAACATGGACGGCATGGGAAATACCGGATCCAACCAAAGCTTCACGCCTCGGACCGACGACTCTATCGATTTGGTCCAAATGCGCCAAACGCTTGTCAAGGTCTGGACAGAATCACCGTGGCAATGGGCGCCCAATAAGCTCGACTCGGGTTATTTGGAGCACCCAAATTTCTCCGTACCATCCGACGACACAAGCAGCGCTGTTTTCACCGAAAGCCGGAAGAAGCACGCGAGGATTGTCAGGGACAAGCTGGACCAGTCGGGCCGGGATCAGATCTTGGCAATCGTTTTGTCAACCTGCAAGAACGACAACATCATGAGCCGCGTCGCATCCTCTTTTCCGTCCCTCGAGGTGATGGATAGCCTTATCCACATCTACCTGGCGCAACATTTCTGCCAGACGTCACAATGGATTCACCACGGCTCGTTCTCCATGAACGCCCAGTGGCCAGAATGGCTAGCTGTGGCAGCTTCAGCTGGGGCTACCCTCACCCCGGTGCAAACCTTGCGCAAGTTTGGGTTTGCTCTTCAGGAAGCGGTCCGAGTTACCATTCCGGCAAGGTTCGAGGATGCCAACACTACGATCAAAAATCTCGGCCTTGTGCAGACTCTGATCCTGGGCCAAGACATTGGTCTGTGGAGCGGGAACCGACGCAAGATGGAGATCGCCGAATGTCATCTCATGATTCCTATTACGGTAAGTAGCTATTTTCAGCCGTCCGTCTCCCACAGCCTGGTTGCTAATGCTTTGCATAGATGATGAGATATCGCGGCAAATTCCAGCGAGCATCGTACCCCATGGTCGAGGTCAATATGTCGGACGAAGGCGAAGTTTTGGAGAAAAAATGGAGGGCCTGGTGCGAGCGTGAGTCGTGGAAGAGGTAAGCTTATAGACCCAAAGGTCCGGGATATCCTTGTGCTAACGCATTTAGACTACTTTTCCACTGCTTCGTGCGAGACGCTCAGACCTCCATGACAACACTCACCAAACCCTCCATGTCGTACTCGGAACTCACCCTGCCCCTCCCTGAAGCAAAGGAGCTGTGGTTTGCAAAGACGGCGGCCGAATGGAAGATGCACTATCTCGAACGAACAAACGGACAGAGCAAACGACCACCTTCGATCGGTGATCTCTTCCGGGACATCAGCCTGTTGGCGACGAACCGCCAGCGACTGGATCTGCAATTTGCAATCTCGATATACCTGCATGGCTACTGGGCGCTCATTCTCGAGTATCTCCAGCTGTGTTCCGTCTTGCGCACCCGGACTTGGCTGAACAACTCTGGAGGGAAGTCTGAGGAGGTACTACGTTCCAGACATGCGGAGCTTTGCAAAGACCTACAGGGCTTCTTGCTGGTCACTTCCGACTGGCACGAGATGCTTTCGACGCAGGAGAGTCTGGTGCTCCATCTTCTCATGATGAACCTCCACCTTTCCCTCAACGACTTACAGCTCTTCTCTGGCAAGGAAGGCGAGGACCAGGCGCGCCGGGTATTTGGTGACCTGCGCGAGTGGTCGCAGAGCGCCGAGGCGCGCCAGTCGCTCTGGCACGCAGGCCAGATCCTGCGTCAGGCCAAGATGTTCCCCCAGGGCCATCTCAAAGATTTTTACGCCATCGCCGTCCACCATGCGGCTCTGGCGTGCTGGACCTACGGGGTGGTCGCCAAGACGAGCGGCACGGGGAAGACGCCGGTGCAAGGGTTCGACCAGGAAAAGGTGTTTCTGGACGGCACCGAGTCGAACCTGGTGCACCGATTCATTGGCTTCAACCAGGGGCGGCCGGTGATCCTGGGACCCATGAGTAGGGCCGGCGCCACCGAGGCGTCGCTCGACGATCCCAAGGCGTGCATGGAAGTGGCCCAGGAAGTGCTCCGGGCCAACTTTCGCGACTCGGCGGATCTTCACCCGCCCATTGTCGAGAATTTGTGCCTGCTGATCAAGCAGCTAGGCCACGCTGCTTGGGCAGTCGGCATGTCATGATGATTTGTTGTTGTTGTTATTTATCACGAGCCATATTTTGAGATTTCTTTTACTTTGTTTGTTTTTTACTTCACGAAGAGGCGTCTAGAGGTAAATGGCGGTCGGTTGTATACCCATGTATCAAAAAAGTTACCTGTCTGCAGCTTCTTTCCAAAGAAGGTGTCTTGCGCTTAAAGCCAAGGTTCTTGGAATCACATCAATCTATATTGCCTACAATACCAAAGATGTCTAGCTATGCGCTAGCCGAATTACCTATTATCGTCCCTTCTCATTTATGGTGTATTCGGCTGCTATCCGGACTAGAACATGGGCAATTAAGCTCACCACTTAGAGCTCAACTTTGGACGGCTAACGCAGGCCCCAATTGCGTAGAACAGACGGACGTTCCCTTTCCGACACGGTGGCCTTGAAACTCTTTCTTCTCTCCATCGGACTAGCCCCACCATGTTGAAGTTCAGCATGGTTCAATGCTGCATCCAGTCTGCAGAAAGATGCATGTCATATTCAATGTCCAGTGTTCAGTGTTCAGTGTTCAGTGTTCAAGGCCAGCAAGTTCAGCCACGAACTTGCAATCACTGAAATTGGATGTATTCAAGCATCGACGACTCGGACACCTCCGTTTGGGGGCCAAGTCACGGTACTACGGTATCGGCGGCAGAGAAAACACTACGGAAGGGGGGAGCAGCAAGCATAAGGTAGGGGCGCATCCATTTATCGGAAATACCGACCCAGAGATTGGCGTTAAGCAAAAATGCAAATGTCTTGCACTGCCCCCCCTTTTTTTTCCCGCCCTATAGGGCTCTTTCTTAAAGAAGATGTATTATTATGCCTCGCGGGGCATCCGTACGGAGTACAGAAGACTCCAGAGTAAGGGTGAGGTTGTGTAAAATAATGTTCTAGTCTATTACTCGTAGGGTATGGTCGACCGGCTTGCCTGCCGGCACGGGAGCGCTTCCGTAGTATGGAGTGGAATATAAAGCAACGCAGGGGACACCTTTTGCTTCGGTCCTTTCTACGGATACATAATAAACCGACCTTGTCCGTGCTTTTTTTTGCCTGTTCAACTATCTTGGCCCGTACGGAGTACTGCGTACCAAGGTAATATGTACCTAGATCCCGGTCCCGGTTCTGCCCATATGCCGCGAGTCATAAGATGCCGGGATATGGATCCTTTGGTTTCCCTAATCTGTGCGAAGACTGATATATGTTCAGTTAAGGTAGGTAAAGTCAACAAGGCAAGTTATCCCGCTGGGCAGAGTGGATAGGAAGTATTCCGCGGTAGATGAGTGTGACGCGGGAAGATGGGGTGGGTTTCGGGGATATCCCAACCTCCATCGGCTCAGACATGAATAAAAAATCGGGGAAAAAGATTGAAAAAGCGCGGAATTGTAGCGACGATGTCGCGGCTGATGTGCGCGCTTGCTTGAGTCGTTGATTAGTACTGGTCAGTAGTCACTTTTCTGTGTCGCAATTGAGTTTTTTTTTCCCGGTAAAAGTTGACGTTTTGCGACGTTGTATTTCGTACCTTGCATTACGCTCTTTCTATTCTTTTTTTCTTTACCCGTGCTTGGCAGGCATTCCCATGAGAGAATGCGAAACCGAACCGGAGGGAATGCGTTCATTGGCTATTGTCATCATTTCATATACCCTCCTCCTGTGCTTAGAGTTTGCTTTTGTAGAAAAAGGGAATTTAGTACCGAATGCTTTTCTTTCTGTCTCCCTGCCCAGGCCCCCAGGGAATCGGAGGAAGGGAAGGGAAAGAAGAACCACGGTTGATACTCGCCTGTTATGAACAGCGAGATCATAGCAAACAGGACCACCCATCGCTGGGTCTTGCTTGGTTCGATACCCGACCCGAACGTCATGGGGGCTGGGTGATCATACGAATGGTACGGAGTAACCCCCGTAGGCAAACCAAAGACGCATGAGGTACGGATACTGCGCGCGCGCACGCACGCACGCGCATTTGAATATCCGCACGTACGGAGTACCTGGGGGGCAAAACAAAATCTCAAAAAGCTCGGAGCTCTCAGCCTAGCTCACACCTTTTCTCTCCCACCCCCTGGCCGAACGACTGGGGCGAGCATAGACGGATTGGGGTTTTCTTACTCCGTATCGAGTTCGAGAACAGGTTTGCAATTGCGGGATGCCGGAATTGTCTGATGCTGAGAATGGGGCTTGTGCGTGAAGAGTTTGCTGGTTTTTAATATTGGGACTGAGCCGAGTGTTCCGTTCATTTCTTGAGACGAGGCTCTTCGCATAACTAAATAACAGAGAGAGATAGAGAGTGTGTGTGTGTGTGTTTGCGTGGGTGGGTGGTGTTGGTGAAGTAAATGCAGCGAGAGTGGTATCGGCTTAAGAATCTCCAACCTTTGGTCACCCACGCATTCGGATAGTATACATGCTTCAGATGAATGCTACTATAAATGCACCCAAATCGATGGGTTTTGGGTTCCTCCTTGGCATTCTTTATTTTTGGTGGTGGTTGCATTCGCCAAGGGGTATCAACGGTGCAGCTGTTTCGGAGCATTTACGTCGAGTAAAGTGTGTCGTAGAATACCAGAATACCTTATATATAACCCCCTTGTTGATGGGACTGCTTGGCTTGTGACTTGATGATACTCTACGTGATACGGCCCGACGTTCGGGTTCGGTTTGCACAGTTGACCTTGCTGCACAACATCAGAAGTGCAGCTTGCTTTGCTAAGTCGATATTGACGAGCTGAGTGATAAAGCTTATGGCACTGAAGAAGTTGACACGTCTTCGAAAATATAAATTACTTACATGGTAGTGGAAACTGTATTTGTGCAATTGCGGGTGATAGCTTGGTCTTCTGTTAGTCGAAAAGAGAATAAAGGGGGGGAAAATCAGTTGGTGAGGGGAAAATCCGAGAATGCTGCGAAGCTTGATATTTGTTGAAGTTCCGAGAGGTAAGGTGGATGAGCTTTAAGAAGCTTCAAAATCAAAGATCGTGCTATACTCACCATGAGTTGCGTGCAGACTATATTATATTGTCCATCGTATCGTCGGAATATCTAGTAGTTTTTACACATCCCGAGCCGAGCCGCCTACAATGCTGCCAAAATGATACTATTTAACAGTCCTGCACTGCACTACAAGTACTGAGTCTTTAGAGACTCAGTAAGATCACGCCGAACCCAATGCATCAGAAAATCGAAGCCCACAAAGTCAAGTAGGAATCTGAAAGTTGGGTAATTCGGCTAGTGTTCTGATACGTACGCGGCCAATTCGGGGAGGGATCTCTCCCTTTATCTACGGAGTACCGAACAGATCCCGTGCCGACCGTTACCTGCCAGCCGGGAGCGACGTCTCCACTTTTGACAGGACCACGTGGGGCCAGCGATAGGGATCCGGCCGCTGTGGAGTACTCCTTGTGGGGCCACCTCAGAGGCCAGGGGACCCTCCCCGGGCCGATCTAGGTAGTTTGTTGATTCGCGAAGGAAAGATGAAAAAAAAAATGACGCCGATCTTCCCACCAAACGCGCGACTCCCGCCGTATAGCACCGGGGCACCGAAAAGCGACGACAAGTCCTCAGCTCAGCCTCACCAACGTCATCTTACCTTTTTCGAGGTTCACAAAGGCATTCCGTCTCAGCCTTCTTTGTTTGTGCAATCGCTCCTATTTTGTAGAGTAATACTCTGCAACATCAGCACAAACACTCATATAGGGCTCTCTGGCTGAGGATCTATCTAGAGTTCCTTGTGCACCAGGCTCCCCACTCGTTTGCGATCCGTGGCATCCGGTATATACCAACATCCCGCATCACGAAAGCCCAAACTCCTGGATTTGTCGCTCCCACACCACCTACCCGCACGATGGAATCCTTATTCAGCGCCTCCATCGAGCCAAAAACGGCGGCGATCGTAGCTACGACCGTCGTCGCGACGCTTTCCGTTCTGTCCCTTGCGCGACTCGGTCTCTACCCCAACTGGGGCACCGCAATCCCAAACCCTCTCAAGACCAAGATTCCCACGCTCGCAAGCGATGAGGTCAAGAAGCTTCCCTACCACCCAGACTACTTCCCCGGCGCCCGGGATGTGGACACGCCTGTAAGATACCACCCCTTCGCCACCAGCTCATTATCTCCTCAAGATGCGCCCCCTAGTACCTCACCTCACTAGGTGATTGACTAACACACACCCTCTCAGTACGGCTCCATCCGCGTCTACGAATGGGGCTCAACCACCGGGCCAAAAGTAGTCCTCATCCACGGCATCAGCACCTCCTGCATGACCCTCGGCCCCATCGCCCACGCTCTCGCCGCCCGCGGCTGCCGCGTCATGCTCTTCGACCTCTTTGGCCGCGGCTTCTCCGACGGCGTCGGCGACCTGCCCCACGACACGCGCCTGTACACCACCCAGGTCCTCCTCGCCCTCGCCTCCTCCCCGCTCGCCTGGTCCGGCACCGACGCCGTCCGCGTCGTGGGCTACTCCCTGGGCGGCGCCGTCGCCGCCTCCTTTGCGGCGTCGTTCCCGCATATGGTCGAGAGTCTCGTCCTGCTCGCGCCCGCGGGTCTCATTCGCGCGGAGAACTTTGGCGTGCTGGCGCAGGTTACGTTCCAGTCTGGCCTTGTGCCTGAGCGTATTCTGGCTGCTGTTACGAGGAAGAGGTTGCAGAAACCGTTGGCGAGTAAGCGGTCTAATGCTGTAGAGGATGAGGAAGATCCGGTGGAGAAGGTCGTCGACGTCGCGGCCGCGGAGGTGTCTGGTCCCCACGGCAACGGGGAGGATCAGAAGGTCGAGCGGAAAGTGCGTGAGTATGTCCCCTGGATGGTCGCGCACCACGAGGGTTTTGTCAAGGCGTTCATGTCGTGTGTGCGGTGGGCGCCGCTTACGGGCCAGCACCAGACGTGGCGGGTTCTAGGTCAGAGGAAGAAGGGTACTACGGCGGTGTTTATCGGGAAGACGGACGAGGTTATCGATGTTGAACACTATGCCAAGGATGGGTTGCCGTTGTTGGGCGGCGAGGAGAATGTGACGTGGAGGGTCCTTCCTGGGGGTCACGACTTTGTCATGACCAAGACGGAGTACATTATGCGGGAGTTGGATGCTTTCTGGGGTATGAAGGTGCAGTCGTGAAGTAACGATGAGGGATGTGGATATGAACGGCCAAGGGGCCATAGACAAAGATGGGTGCGGGCAGATCATGAGACGCGTTATTGATAGACTCCTAGAAACGATACCATTTGCTTGCTTCTATTCCTGGATGACACTGCTTATTGGCAGCATCCATTCTCAATCCTTGACTTCCAATTCATGTTGAAATATTGGATGTGTATAATAACCATGGACATACAGTAGAAAGGTAGTGTAGTACTTGTCTACAGGTGTCTCCATCTATTGGCTGATTGGTATCATGCTGAAGTCAATGAGATGCTTCAATCAAGCTTATTGGTATCTCTCCCCAGCGCATCATGTAGAGAAGCCAGACTGGCTTACCTTCACCAGTTAGGTCGATAGAAACATGCAATGAGACATACGCAAGTTTGAATATTGACTGCATTCTGCCGCAGGTATGCCCATTCTACCCATCTAGAGATTCTGTAAACTAAATGTTTCTCTCACAGTATGTCTGTAGACGGGTGTGGGAGTCATACTACTTCGAGAACTGATTTATAGATGCGCTTCGCCTGGCGGTGCACCCTAATACCATCGGGAATCGTACAAACTAAGAGAGGAACATTCATGTCGTCTCAATGTCTTATTTAAAGCGAGGCGTCACCCTGCTTATTATACAAGTAGGAAGTCTCCACACGTTGGGAACTTCCCACGAAGCTAGGATGTTCATCATTGAAGTGATAGGACAGATACACCCAATCAATATAAGTGTATCGGTAAAAAGACATGACAAAAAAGCTCAGTACAGGATTCGAACGCATTGAAACGAGCCTGTACTTACGAAAAATCCATTGTTTTTCATGCATGTTTAACCACTCAGCTACGTGGCCTCGGGGAGTGCCATTGACCCCCGAGGATTGCTCATTCCCTCGAACCAGTGACCTATATACCATCTAGCGAGGAGAATACACAGAGAAAATCAACAAAAAAGCTCGGGCGTTGGTTCGAACCCTATCCCTACGAAAAACGAGCGTCCCAGTTTCTTCATCACCCGTTTAACCACCAGGCTACGTGGCTCCAGCAAGTTTGCACTGTACCGGGGAGACACTCCTTCCTTCGAATTTGTGTCCTATATACCCTCTGCCCCATCCGTCTCGTGGCTCTTAATGGTTCCAATCAGTATTACGTCCCGAAATGGTCGTTCCGCTGCCTCCTTACCTTGGGTAGGCGGCCGCGGAGCTTCAATGAAACCTCAGATACTCCGTCGTCTCTCCCTCCATCCGGTCGATTGTTGGCAGATTGATACCCATTTCTTTCGGTAATGGACTCCCGTTGTAGCCGCTAATATAAACGCCTTTGAAATATCACATGGATGTCGCTCACTGTTCAGCAAGATAGAGTAAAGCTTCGACATCAGGAGCACCATAAGTGTAGACTTCTGTCGAGTAGCCAAACCCAACGCCATGAGCTGGTATGATCAATCGCTCGCTTAAAACAGCCATTCTCACACCACTGCCCATACTTGATTACGAACACAAGATGGACGTGAATATTGGGTTAGAAAAACAAGCTTAGTATCACTAGCTTTGCGCTGTCAACGGTTTCTGCAAGCAGGCGCATACCTGAGCTCTAGGAGGCCAGCGATATTGAAAGCACGCGCTCTTGTCTCGAGAGTCTTCAAGCTCGGATGACGTGCTGTCATGTCCAAGATGTAAGATACAACGGCATCAAAAGTGTATGTAGTAGTAAAAAGTATTGCGCTACTGAAGATGGAACGCAACGGTTGAATATCGATGAAGTTGGGAAATTAGCTAAGCTGGGAGACCCCAGCCACGGTGGCGATCCCTGCTCGCCTGGAACGGCAACAATGGGTCGTTCCCCGCGCCACATATCAGAGCTGGCGCCAATCGCGCGATAAGACGGGGAAAATGGTCTAGGCCGCGATAAGCCTCCAACCGTGGACCTCCCTACCAGGGTGGCTCCAAGAGGTGCATGTGCTCATGCTCGTGTGCCTCGACTTGCCCCTCCAAATATTCCTGTTCCATCCATCACCTAGGAGGTTCCTGCATATTCTGCATAGTAATCGCCTCGCCGACGACAAAAACCGAGGCGCAAATGCACCCGAACGCCGCTGGTTAACTGAGTTCAAGTAACATTCGACCCCACCACCTCGGATATTGACTCTTGTTTCGTCATGCTGACTTATCACTGGCCAACAGCCTGACTGTCGTTTGTCCACGACTCGCTCGCGACAGTGACTGATTGATGCGGAACGTATAACGACTAGCTTCATCTCGAGACAAAACAACCACCACTGCGACCGTACACACCGATAGAGTCGCCGGAGACGATGCAAACGATCTAAGATGGCGAGCTCAGATGGTGGAGCTGCTCCAGCTTCCCTCGACGATCAACACCGCCTGCTCGACGATGCAGGAGAATCAATATCGGGCAGCTCCCACATCGGGAGTGATGCTTCAGACGACTCTTCCGAACGGGGGCAATGTCGCTGGCGGACGTCTCGCTACCACGATATGGAATGCTCTCGCTTCTTCGACTGTCCTACCCATGTAGTCGAGAGGCATCTCTCTGACGATGAGGCCGACGACAGTGAGGCTGAGGAGGAGCCCGCAGTGCAGCATCAGACGGGCGACGATACGGCCGAAAGTTCATCAAGCGCGAGGCTACTTACCGTCGATTCTCCTGTGCCTGAAGAAACTCCAGAGCCGGCCCCAGCACCAAGCTTTGCGCCCGGGCCCGAGGAGACGAATACGGGGCGACCAAGAGAACCAGTAGATTCAGCACAGGCAACCTCAGCACGGGATACTGAAGGGCCTGATGAGTCTCAGGATCCCGAGGAAGCCGCACCGGCACCACCAACACCTTTAAGCTCTCGACTTTCAGAGACTTCTCAACCTCTCCCACCGACTGCAACGCCTGCAACACCGACCGGAGAGTTTGTCCCACCGGAAAGATCATCGAGCTTGGTTACATCGCAAGCGGCAAACGCATCGTCACACGATTCACCCTTACGCCCAGCTCTGATATCCAGCCGGTCTCACGAAACGCCGCCTCCGCCGCCACCCAGACGGGCGAGTTCTTCGGCTGCCATTCAGCCTCCTTTGCGCGGTCAACAAGGATCTGGAGAGAGAAGCGGTCCTCCCGAGTTTGTCGTTCCACGTTGGCAACCAGACGCAGAGGTTGTTCTTTGTCCGATTTGCAACGTCCAATTTAGCATATTTGTCAGGAAACATCATTGCAGGTATGTAGAAGTTGAGGGGCTGTGTGATGTAAATGCTAACAAATTGCAGGAAATGTGGAAGAGTCGTCTGTAACGCCTGTTCGCCTCACAGAATCACCATTCCTTACCAGTACATTGTTCAAGCGCCAGGACAACCGCGATTGGCCGCTCAGAGATACCCGTCTTCCCTCATCAGTGGTGAGGGAGGATATGCAGATTTCAGCAGCCTTGGTGGAGGAGAGCGCGTTCGTCTATGCAACCCATGCGTCCCAGACCCAAACACCACACCGCCGCAGCAGCCACTTGGCTCGCCTTCCCAGTTGTCTCCTCGAGGATCGCATTATAGATCGCAAAGCAGCATCGGCACAATGTCCAGCAACGCGCCCGCTCCCTCGCGGTTCTCTGGCTACTTCACGTCGAGCCCCTCCCCGGAGACCTATGCCAGGTCTAGAAGCATTACGGTAAGAGTTAATCCAGGTCCGCATTCCATTAATACGCATGCTAACTTGTGCAGCACTCCGGCTCCGGCGGGCCCTCGAGCTCTCGCGGACATTACCAGTCCACTGGAAGTCGGATCATGGCAGGGACTCCGCCGACTTACTACCCGTCCTCATCTTCCGGCTACCCAGGCTCATCCCGCTATCGATCCATGCTGGATGTTGGTCCATCGTCGTCCTCGTCGGCGCACTACAATCGTGCGCTGCCGCCGCCGCCGCCCCAAATAGCCGAGGAAGACGAATGCCCGGTCTGCCATCGAGAACTGCCCTCTCGGACCCTCCCCAACTTTGAGCAGCTGCGAGAGACACACATTAACACCTGCATCACTTCACACAGCGCTTACGGCGGTACACCGACGGGAGAGACCCCTCCAGTCGGAACGCCACCTCCCTTGGCGGTTCGCCGGACTGGTATGTTCCCTTATGTTGCCACAGAAAAGGACTGTGTCGACTCGGCCGAGTGTACCATCTGCCTAGAGGAATTCGAGGTGGGCGTTCCCATGGCGCGTCTGGAGTGCCTATGCCGTTTCCACCGATCCTGTATCTCAGCTTGGTTCATCAACCATCCTGGACGGTGCCCAGTCCACCAGCATGATAGTTTTGGCTATTGATACCTCGTGTTGTCGGTTCGTTACTTCTCCTCTTGCAGGCTCTGATCTTCCGGCGTTTCGGTTTGCATAGGGGCCTTTCAGTTTAACCAAGTCTTTCCTTTTAACGATGCCTGCCTTCTTTCGTTTTGTTTTGACGACCAGAATCCCATCTCACCATTGTCCGCCGCAACAACGCTATGGGAACAGATAACATGAGTTGAGGCCGGGAAGCGGCTGTCGTCGTCAGCGGATGTGAGCATCTAGAATGGTCGGGGCTGATTTGCTTTTGTTTTTGTGGACTGGATGGTCTCACGGTGCCTTGTTCTTCTTCATATATACATGTCAGCCAGTGTGCCAGGGTATAATACGTTTGCCAGTAAATACTTCTGAAGCGAAACGGAGGAGGGAGAGGAGAGGAGGCGGCGTGCCGTTGCACAGAGTCACACTCTCTCACTCCCCTCGATGGAGATACCAGCCACTCAGATTAGATAGATATGTTAGGTTTGCGTCTAACAATGAGATGCCATGCTCGCTTGTGGCGATTTAGCTCGCCCTAGGTATATTCAATTCTCGATTTTCTCCCCAACTCGTGTCGCCTGCATTAGCCATCCAAAGGAGGGCATTTGTTCTGTCACCCGATTGCTCGCCCTGTCTTGATTACTGAACCCAGTATCTAGACACGGCTGTTTGTACGTTCACACCTAAATGGTTGACGGAATGATCTGCCGCTCATATCGACTTTCTCTCGATGCCTCTACTATGCCTTTATCGTTCCCTTTGGTGTTTCCTTTGCTGTTTCCCTTATCAGTATGATAGCTACTTTTTCTTACTTCACGGAGTATACTGTCTATATAATGTACTTGAAGTATCGCAGTACGACGGGAGGAGGACAGTCGAGACGAGGGAGTATCGGCGAGAAACACAGTGATATGAGATTTTCTTTATTAAACAACAGATTTATTTCGTCGTCCACTTTGGCGCCTTCTATTGGGAGGAAAGCAGTGCCTAACTGCCGTCGTTTCACTTTGATAGAGAGGAGTCGTAGTTTTCGTGGGGATTCAAGGGGAGGTGATGGATGAACCGCGGCGCATGTTTATATGTTGTAAGACACTTTCTAAGGTAACGGCAACCCACTTGTATCACTACCGCCGCGGGACCGCCATAGGCCCGTCCGGCAGGCGGACGGAGTCCGGATACCTGCCTACTCCAAGGGCAAGCGACGTACGTCACTTGTCTCGGTAACGGCGTCTTCGTGGCCTCGTTTCGACGTGGGATGTTTCGACCCGTTCTTCCCAGTTGTAGCTCGACGTCAACCCACGTTTTGAGCAGAGTGATCTTCGTCTGCCGGCCCCTCCGTAACCCCCCTCCCCCCCTCCTTCCGCCTCCTTCCCGTCAAGGGCCAAGACACGGGAAGGCTACCGCGATATGTAGGTGACCTCGCGGCTCACGCCATTGATGTTCTAAGAACATAGTCCAGAGGAAAAGTTTGGATACTCTTCATATTTAGGATCCGGATGAGGATCCGTATATCATAGGCAGTGCTGGATAGGTAGGGTAGGTAGCTGGCCAAGACGCGGAAACATCCCACCTCTAGGACGAGGGGGTTCAAAAAAGGGGGGGAGCCTCGAGGAAGAGGGAGGGGGGGAGGAGGGGATCTAGAACATGCCAGGCAGCCCCTGCTGCGAGTCTCCGCCGGGGGTTGCACTGGGCATATCCATGCTCCACAGCCTCCACCCTCGCCGACTGGCCCGACCTTGCCGAGGAGGAGGAGGAGGAAGAGAAGTAGTTGATATCGTGTATGCTAGATCCTCATAGTCTCTTTTCGAAGATAGAACCGAGCAGTATCTCTTCGAGAAAATGAAGATTACGAAGCTGCCTGGACACAGGTAATGTGGAAAGAGAGAGAGATAGGAAAGTCTGTAAGTTTAGGGACCAGCAAGGACCAACCAGGTCTATCAATGATGAATCAATTACACATCTCGCCGACCTGCATTCACCCACCGGAATCCCGATAATGAGCTTATTTCTTTTCTCCAATCTGTCGAGTAAAATTTTCTGCTCAGTCTCCGAGGTTTCTCATTTGCTTTAAACTCGCCGAATGGTAGATTGCTGCCCCAGCTTTTTTTTTTTTTTTTTATGGTTCTAGTTGTGTACTCCGTACGGATTACCCAACGGTCAAAAGTCCCGAGCAGGAAAAACAACTTACCTGCGTTCTTAATTTCTTGCGGCCAGGGGTGGTCGCTGCTTACGGGCATTCATATGCGCGCAGTACGGATACACCTCACGCGAGTTGGTATCCGTAGGAAGGCAGTGCAAAACCGTGTCAGAGGCATAACACCCTAGAAATGGCAGAAATGACTCTGCGTCGCTGGACAGTGCATGCCAAAAACTGGAATGATGAGATGAACCCGACCAACACTATCCGTACCAGAAACCTACTTTGTAAGGGTATACAATGTTTCACGAAACTCAGCTGTCCGTAACCTACGACCCCACCCCTCCTTATACGTTCATCGGATTATTGTCAAGATGCGGGAAGGAAAAGGAAAGAAAAAAGGAGGGGCCGGGTAGGTTGTTTGGGGTAGATGGTAATTCGAGGAGGGAGGCTATATCATGAGCGGTATTATGGCACGCCATATGCTTGAAGTTGAGCAAGTCTAACGTCAGTTCAAGCCCATTCTTGACACATTCTTGACAGAAGGGGAATCGGGGTGCAGCTTTCAGCCCTAGCCTGGTGTCACCGAGCCCCTCTGATCGTCCACATCCCTCGAGGGAAAGTCGAGACTGTCATCGAATTGGGGCTCTTGGCGTGAATCGGTTTCGTCTTGATGCTGTTTTCACAGCATTGTTTCGCGCGCAAGAACGCCGCCGGCTGGCTCTGGCCCTCGTGGTCCGGTCCCTCAGCGCGGGTTCCCACCCCCGCTGGATATCCTGGTTTCAACCCCCCGTCAATTTTAGATGACGATGGAGCCACGCTCTCGCCACGGAGCAGCGCGCATGCCTGCCCACGGCACCACGGCGCCGGGAGCATAGAGGAGTGGTTCCTCTTTTTGCGTTCTGGACTGCATTGTTTGGTTCGCACGTCCGCCCTGAGGAGCGAGGATGAACCCCCATGAGGCATGTTGGTAAGGTAGGACCGTAGGATGGACGGCGGCGGCGGCACAGTAAGAGGAAAACTCTCTCGCGCGCGTTGTTTTTTCCTTCCCGTCGGTGGCGCTTGTCCTTCTTCCGTCCCTCTGCAGGATCGAGTAAGATTAAATCAAAATAATACCGGTGTTATGGCTGCCTGCCCTCCTGCTCTAGGCTCTTCCCTCAAAAGGATTGCCATATCCTGCCATGTAGGTGTGAAGTCTTTTCTTGACCCTTTCTCTCTCTATCCACGCTGGTCTGGAACTCTTGCTGCACCCCTTTGAGGTCCGACATTCCTTCACTTGTTGATATTGCCGACTGCTATTCTGTCATTATCCAAAGAAAAGACACCGAGCTTGTCTCTGTACGAATCGAATCTGCATCCGATCAGTAGTTCCTCCTTGGCCAGGAACCTCACCGTAACATATCGTTATCACGTCCATCGTCTTCGACACAATGAAGCAATCCATTCTCTTGTTGGCTGCCTCGGCCGCTCACATGGCCTTTGCCAAGCCCGTCAAGTCCTGCTCAGCCAAGCCGCGTAGCACCACCGTCCTCACCTTCTACGTCACCCCGACCTACGGAGGCCCGACCATGACCCCCATCCCGACGGCGCCGGTCGTGCAACCTACTCCCGTCGAACCCCCCGTCGAGAGCTCCGTCGAAAGCTCCGCCCCCGTCGAGACTCCCGTTCAGATGCCATCGGTCATCGCAACGACCGCATCGGCCTCGGCTACCGTGGTGGAGCAGGCTGCCCCATCGTCGAGCAGCAGCAGTGCCAGCACCCCGGCCTCATCCTCGACGCCGATCGGCAGTGGTGGAACCAAGCAGGGCAAGTCGACCTTTTACGGCGGTAACACCTCTGGCGGCATGTGCTCCTTCTCGACCTACACCATCCCCTCCGGCCTCTACGGCACTGCCTTCTCCGGCCAGGCTTGGGATTCTGCCGCTCACTGCGGTGCTTGCGTCAAGGTCACTGGACCCAATGGCAACAGCATCACAGCCATGGTTGTAGACCAGTGCCCCGAGTGCGACGAGGGCCACCTCGATCTGTTCCAGGATGCCTTCACGCAGCTCGGAACCGTCTCCGAGGGTATCATTTCGACTTCGTACGAGTTTGTTGAGTGCGGTATCACTTCGCCGATCAAGCTCCACAACAAGACTGGCACTTCTGCCAACTGGTTCTCCATGCAAGTGCTGAACCACAACGAGCCCGTGGCCAAGCTCGAAGTTAGCACGGATGGCGGAAGCACTTGGCAGGCGACCAACCGCCAGCCGTACAACTTTTTCGAGAACTCGAGCGGTTTCGGAACCGAGACCGTCGACGTTCGCGTCACGAGCGAGTCGGGAAAGACCATCACTGTCAACAGCGTCAGCGTCGCCGCCGACTCCGAAAAGGAGGCGTCATCCAACTTCTAAGTCGTGAGCATGATAGTCTCATGAGCTCGGACATTTGAAGTATAGCTGTCGTCTGAGGACAAGCGCGGTTCGGAGATTTTTGTTTCCCTGGGCTGGGCGCCTGTTGCTCTGGATTATTGTCTGCGTATGGGCCTATTGTGGCACCGTGTGCTTTGCATGCTGCAGGGACAGAATGCATCGATCGCGATTCGCCTTGGCCGATAGCCCTTCATTGCTTGAGCGACCTCTTCACTTCTCTTTTCTCTTCAATGCTCGCATCGGGCCTTTCTTTCTTTCATGTGAAGACGACTTGGGGTTAGACAGCATGGTTTCGGGACCGGAAAATGGCTCGGGGCTAGCCTAGAATTTCCCCCTTAGGAATTGGTTTTTTGAGCAAGCTCAAAGCGCCTAGTTTGTTCGCGTAGCATTTACGTGGACAGTGTAGCAATAGTTCTCTTCAGATGATCTCAATCTTGCCGTCGACGAACGGCATTTTTCCTCATTGCAGGATCGGAAATTCGGTGCGTGTGAGTGAATCGGTCTGCGTGGTGTCTGGTAGAAGGAAGCCTTGGCTCGTGGGTGCATGATTCGTTTCGCGCATGTACGCGTGGATAAAGGCGTGCTGTTGTTAGCGTCCGACCTTAGGTGATGACCGCGATGTGTTAGTATAAGTTCAACGATGCCGGCATGTTAGATTACCGGTAGAGATCGCCAGGAACGGAGCCTGTCTTGGAAATAGCTGAGACCAATCAACAATGCTTGCAGAGCGGGTTAGCTCAATCAAAACGCAGAACAGATCTCCTTTCCTCCTAGTCTCTGCTGTTCTGAATCTCTGACTCTCGCGTTGTCGGCAATCGTAGTCCGTAGTCCGTACTCCGTAGACTTTCTAATCCACTAATCAGGAAATGAAGGATGCCTCAAAAGTAAAAACGCGTTCTTTCGAGGTGAGGCTAGCGGCTGGTACCTGCCAAGACGGCGGCGAAAGTGTCTTAGTCTTAAATTCCCTAGGCCGGAACATGGCGCGATGAATGGACAGATGCTGCTGGTGCATGTTGCGACAAGCTCTGTGTTACTCAACGGCGAGGCTGTACGCCATGGCTAACTTGGTTGAGCTTGTGCAGCTCGCATTTAACTGGTTTCCATCTCCCTTTTCTTTGTAAGAATCGCTGGGAAATGAATTGTACCACGGCATGTTTCGCATCGTTGTATCGGCAAAAGACACTGGCCATGGAGAGGTGAAATGAGCATTCGTCAGATCGTGGGTAGCAATTCCTAGTTGGCGACGGACCACTGAGCTTAGTGTATCCATAGGTGTGATTGTGGCCTGTCAGTCATGAGCCTGTCATCGGTTCGCCGTGGTCCGATCGATGAAGGATTGCCGGCAAGGATCGGGTAGCTGGGATGGACGTGATTCGACCGTTGTTTGGCAGCTTGACCGTTAGTCAGGGTGCCCAAGTTTGACCGTTGGCGGAGCTCTGCTGTGCCAGGA